TCGAGCCTTTAGAAGCCTGGGCTTTATTAATCGCATTACCAAACCATTTAAGCAAGTCAAATTTTATATTATTCATTCGTTAGTCCATTCTCGACTTTGGAAGCGTGGTTTGGAATCCATTCTACAAATGTAATATCGATCGAATAGAAAGAGTCCAGTGGAAATTCATCAGGATTCTTAATTTTCGTTCGAATTGAACCATACGAATACCCTCTTAAGCGTAATAAATTACTTACTTTACAAAATCGCCGTAAGAAATCTGACATAGTTTTTCTCTTCAAAATACTTAACAATAGGGTTGATTCACCGACTCTGTTATCGCAGGTTAATTTTATAAATAAAGCTCGTTTACCAGCACGCCCCCAACGTAAAATAAAAATTTTCGTACCATCACGACTCCGTAAGAACTATACGAGAAACAGTTATTTTCATCGTTCGTTATCTTTATATAATAATACATTTTATGACACGGATATGTTTGGTATCTCATTGAACAGATTTAAGGTAAGCATCCACAACAAATTATTTACTGTTTATGAAACCTGAAGCCGGTTTATATCCCGGTTAATTAGTTTAGTTTTAATTTCCTCTAGTTCTAAGTAGTAATTTGTCTAAGCACCCATATGGTTAACCATTTTTGTTCAAAAACGCGTTTATTTTGTATTCTACTTATATATTTAAGCTCTTTTAGTAATGTTATTAATATTTACGTGTTATATTCGGTACTCGTCGTCTATAGTATAGTTCAAATTTCTGTATTAATTTATATTGTAATGACTGTTTGTACCAAAATAAATAAATAAAAAAAAATAAAAATATATTTTTAGCGTATATATTTTTATACGCATAGAACACTCCAACAATGAAATTAACTACTAATTTGATCTTCTGATGAATATTCGTATAAACAGAACCGGATAACAATTCCATAACATGTTATACCCAAAAAATTAAATTAGCGACTGTAGATAGTTGAACTTTGAATTGTTTATTTACACATTAGCCTTTGACACGTTAAATGTCAAAGTTGAAAGTAATGGAGATTCTAACACATTGCGTAGCATCACGAATGGTCGTAGTTTATAATATTGTCCGAAAAAAGTTATTTACAGATCTCGATTGACAATGCATGTAGAAATAATTCATTTTCTTCAAGGCGTAGGTTACGTTAATTTGTATTGTACGGGTGATTTATTAACGAGCTTCAACACAGGCTTGGCAGTACTATATACAAGTTCCATATAAGTGATTTTCGTGTCGCACACATCGTTGCAACGATTATTGTATACATAAGCTACTTAGTGGATGCTTGCTGAATGTATTTTACAAAAATGTACTTGATTATTCTAGGACATTGCCGCGGTTTGAAATGGACAATTCGCCATATAAACGTCCAGAAGTTTTTCTACAAATGTTTTTTATCTAATTTGACCACCAAATTAATAGAAGATAGAGCTTCACTTCACTTTTTATTTTTATGGCTCCATCATTACATACAATGATGATTTTGATATTTTTGGAAAGAAAACCACCAAGTTCTAATAAGACATTAACCGGTGTTTATGGATTGGTCCACGGAAGTGTTCAGATGAGAATCTAAAACAAAAGACAGCACAAACATGTAAGATAGCGCTTCGTTACATTCCATCCAGAATCCATATTGACATTTTCCTGTATACACTTGACATTGTTAGTTTAATTCAATTATTTATTTAGTATAATTAATTATGTTGATTTGTATATGTACACTATTCAGTACTTATTATGACTTACTATTATATAATTATTTTGTAAACTGACGCTCACTTTTCGAAGAGTAGTATAAAATTACATGTAATTGTATTTGTATGAAATTTGTAATATTGAGGGAAATAAGCTTTACTAAACAATCAGAATAGACTTAACAGATTTAATTTAGTGAGAAAACAAAACTATCGATTATGTTTTGAATACAATATATAGGGTTCGTTTTGAAATACTAACAACCTTGCAGGACTATATTACTATCATCTTATACAACAACTTTTCTTCCATAGCTTTTGATAAAACATAATAAATTTACCAAAAAGAAACTATTAAGTTTTTTGTCCTATTTAGATCTGTAGATAAAGTTCAAACGTGCAAACGTCCTCTCCGACGACTCGCAACCCTGCCTGTGTTTTGCACAGAGTTGTCACTTTTAGAATGATTTATTTAGACATTTTTTATTTTTGTACAAAAGTAAAATCGAATGAATTATTACGTCATGGAACAAAAGTTGTTGTTTATGATGTAAAGATCTGACAAATAACCCAGTATAAAAACGGAAGTCTATTAATAGACATTTCAAAATTTCAATCTAGCTTCTTTATTGATATCGAGATATTTTTGTACAAAATAGATTTTCTATAGACCATGAGGTAAGAAGATTATTTCAAAATGTTTAAATTTTGAAAATGTCGAGGCGTTCGAGAACTGGTTTCCAGATGTTTCGAAAGTTTTAATGTGACTTTTTCGGAATTTACCGGTCAATCTTTGAGTTAAAAACGCGTGCGCTCCTCAACTTGGCATTGGCGGGATCGTAACATTATAATCATTTTTAGTTGACATCGTTTATTTCGATGGATTCTTCAGTTAGAAGAAGATGAATGGCTACATGCTTTGTTCTTCTTTCGCATACGAGGATAGACATTATGAATAGAGACTTGAGTGGTGTAACCCCCATATTTTTTACAACAACATTTTAAATTATACTTAAAGTACATAATTATATTTGGATGCTATTTTCATGTAAAAATTTAATAATTAAATGCATTTTAATATCATTTAAAGTAATTAAAAATTAGAAAAAATCTAAATGTCGGTTATTGTTTGATGGTGCCGACATGGAGAGGGAGAGAAGGGCCCTGTCTGTTAAATGCAATATGCTCGCCCGCAAGTTTGCTCGTTGCACCAAAGATGTAAAGATCATGAGACCAGACAATTTGCTTTAAATAATGATATGAGCAGCCTGTGGGTCAAGTATACGCAGAGAACCCTGAATACATAAAGGGTGCAATATAACAATGCTTTCAGGATGCTACAACATGTAGTGCATGTAGGGCATGTTCATGGAGGCGCACATTGTTGGCTTTTATGCCATTATTCGAAAGAGGGCCGCCTCACTCATGATGCGTATGCGCTGCAGCGGTAATAGCATCCTAGCCGTTGTTGCCAACAGGTTGGACTGCCCCTACCAACATTGGGTGCAACTATACATGTGTAGAGTAGTGGACGACGACGTGGCATTTCTCTAGAATTACGTAATTTTGTATTGTACTAAACATAGCACGTAAAATTGACTGTATTCCTAACATTACTATGGATTATGGCAATTCTATACCACTTTTACGATCATAGCCTCAATTCGACCCCTCCTACGTAAAGTACAGTATGTCGAAATTGCCAAGTTTACAGGGGAGCGTTTTAAAGTTTTGAATTCACTGAAATGAGCAAACACGTGACTTTAGTATTTCTCAGTTTTATTCGGAAAAGCTCGTTAAATTCGTCGTTTTTAAAACTCGGTCTCGAATAAAACTGAGAAATGCTAAATTCACGTGTTATGCTCACTCATTAATTGAAATACTTTACGTAGGAGGGATCGAATTATCTTCTCGCTCACACAGTGTTCGTCATAGGCTACAATTTTTATATGGCAATTGGCAGTCCTTTTGTTCTATAGATAGCTCTATAATTTTATGAAAAGTACACACAGCAAGCAGCCTAGTACTTTATTGAACAAGTTCCATTACCACAAGTTTGCCAGTGTTGAGGTGGCCAGCGACCTAATAATATATTTTTATGGCGAATTTTGCTTTATTTTGTAACAACTAGAGGGCTGACTGAATTGCATGTAAGTTTGTAATCGACTGAATTTACTCACTGCTCGAATGCTCGCGATGAGTACACTGCAGCCGTGTACTTGGCTGACAATGGAATAATCAATGGCAGACTCACTGTGTTGCCATTGTAACATTAACACGGTGGAGTTATATTAAAACTGTATTGTTGATATAGGTAAACGCAAACTAAACTTAAGTTTAACTTTTCACACAAACCACACTCACTGTTGTGTGAAAAAAGTGAGTTACAATGGTAACGCCACAACAAATCGCGATGAAGGTAGTAGTCGTCGACAGCGCAAGAAAAAGCTGAAAAGCTTAACGCTGTCATCTGCCGCCGTCCAGTCAACCCGAGACCATGGAGCGTGCAACAGTTCCGAAATATTGGGAAAATAAAAAGAAGTCATACCGTGGTAAGAAACCTGAAATTAGTGATAATCACTAAGTTTGCTTATTTGGTAATGAACTTATTGTAATACATTTTGAGGAACAAGGACAACGATACAAAATTGCGTATGCAGCTATCTTTGTCGTTTGACCAATCGCCGCGAAAACCATGAAACAAATAATGTCTTTTCATCTCGTTTGTCGCGCTCAATTTTTACGTTGATAAAATTACTGTGCAAATGTTTTAAATCAGCTGTGACCTAGCAGCCATGTTTGGCATTGTGTTAATTTTTTGCAGTCATTGGTCGCCGGCATTCACGATGAAATAAAAATGTGACGTCACGTTCACTCTTGTGATAAAATTTTAAAATTTATCACTCATCACTTATCATTTATCACCGGTTTATCACTCGAATTTGACAGCCAGATGTGGATATAATAGCTTTGTCGAGGCGGCATTCTACGGGGGCTGGTTTTTTTTTTCAAATGCGGTAGCACCTCTTCCCAGCGTGCTGTCTTTTGTTTTAGATTCTTACGTGAGAATTTCTCGTCAACACCGATTAAAGTCACAATAGAACTGTTTTCTTTTTATACATTTCTTTCGACCGCGAAATTGGCAAAAGCATCATTTCATGTTATGATGGAGCAAAAAAAGTGACGTTTAGTTTGTGTTTGCCAGAATGAAAAAGTTGAATTTGCATTGCCAGCCAAGTACAATGGTGGAACAGACAACAAGTTAAGCTAGACCCTCACTTGGCGGTCGGGCGCGGGCGCGGGCTGCGCCACGACGTACTGCGTGAGCGTGACGTCGGCCGTGCCGCCCGACTCCAGCGGGATGGGGTGCGCGCGGAAGTGCTCCAGCATGTCGTGCACGTTGGGGAACCACAGGTGCTGCACGCGGCACTGCCCGCCGGAGCTCACGGTCATGCGCAGGTGCTTGGCGCGGCCCTGCGGCGGACATGACGCGGGTCAGTGGCGTACGCTTGTTTCTCCTTTCGGTGTGTCAAGCCGTCGAGTGTATAACCAGAAATAAAGACGAAAGAAGGCCCGTCCATCCCTGGCAACTCGTCAGGCGAAGGGGTCTCTATCACTCATACAAAACAAACGGAATCACATTTCATCGCTGAAATTCTGTTTGTTTTGTAATTAGATGTTTTGCTGTTTTTCCCACACCGTCGAATGGAACAGCCTCCATCGTTAGACATATTATCTTTATTACAATAATTACAGAATATTTTTGGAATATACGGAGACGTACGCACAGGTCAATTTTGGCGCTGTACTATTTCAGCTTTTGAGAGTTGATATTTAAAAGTGATATAAGGCCCATTTGGCTGTTGAGTTACCAGGGATGGATGGCCCTTATGTCGTCTCTATTTGTGGTTATATACTCGATGACCGGAGCAGACAAACATGTCTGTCTCTGCAGCTGTTACAAGCCCCGGCGAGTCCGTACCCAGATCCAGAACCAGATTCCGGGGCCGCCAGACGCCCGTGAAGGCGTATCACTGGCGGAGGGCTTGGCCCGGACGCCCGCCGCACCCTGATCTTACCGGGGAGCCCGTAATTTCCATATTTGTTGATGCAGCACTTAGAGATATAATACACACCTGGAAATTAAAGGTGAGCACATACTCCCCGCGTCGCGTCTCGCTCTGCCGGACGAGGTAGCAGCCGTGGGCGGCCGGCCCGCCGGCCAGCACGGCCCCCGCGGCCGCCGATCGCGCCAGCGTGCCGTGGAACCACGGCCACTCGGACAGCGACAGGCGCGGTGATGACTCGCATTCCTCCGCTATCGACCCTGCAAAGACAACCCAGCTGGTGTGATCTTATGAAGTCACAACTTACTACGACGCTTGAAACAGAAGCATGCTTTTTATGGAACCCTAACAATCCCTCTAGATCATTCTTCTTGCTCATTCTTCTCAGGGAAATTAGTAAGACAGGTACCATGACTTACAAATGAGCGGTTGAGTTTAATCAGTATGACGATTTCAAGTTTACTTTAACAGAGATAGCTATCCTAGTTTTCAAGAATGTTTATATCCTTTGTAGGTATTCTTTTTTGTAAGGTGTCAAGTGACGGGACGAACAAGTCGTGCGCCTGGTGGTAAGCGACACGCCTGTCCATTGCAGTTGCAGTACCGCTCGGAGCTTTTAAATTGCAAATATCTGAGGGGCACTGCAACTGCGCCCGTCACCTTGAGACATAAGTTCACAATATAGATTTTAAGACTTTTGTGGTTATTCACTAAATGATTATCACTAGTATCAGGTTTCTTACCACGGTATGACTTCTTTTTATTTTCCCGATATTTCGGAACGGTTGCACGCTCCATGGTCACGGGTTGACTGGACGGCGGCAGATGACAGCTTTATGAGCAGACATATCTGTCTACCCTCTTCCGCTGTCGACGACTTGTTCGACGAAAATCGCGCTGTCATCTGCCGACGTCCAGTCAACCCGTGACCATGGAGCGTGCAACCGTTCCGAAATATCGGGAAAATAAAAAGAAGTCATACCGTGGTAAGAAACCTGATACTAGTGATAATCAATAAGTTCACAAGTCCCATGTGCCTGTATTTTTCACCAGCATCCAAAACCGAAACGCAGTAATGCTTACATAACGCTTGACGGCAAATATACTAATAGTGGAAGTACTTCCCTGGAAGAACTCTTTTAACAAGACGCTCTACTGCTACTACTGAAGAATCCCTAAAAAAAATTCTCAAAGAAAACTTGCTTAAAACAATAGGACTGTATGTGATCAAAGCAGTTCAGGAGCATATCCGAATCTTGTAAACACTTGCTTGACCTAATAGATTGTCGAAAGCCGTCGAAAACATCTGAAGAACCCACTCATACTGGAGCAACGTGATGATCTAAACTATGACATATTTGCCTTAATGACAATCCCTAAAGGCAAGACTGATTAGGCTTTTTTTTAATTCTAATATAAGTGTGCATTTGACCTACATCTCACCTGACGGAAAGTGACGATGAGGTCGACGATGGAGCATACACACCTAGATAATGCCTATTCACTCTCGCCTTGAAAAGGTCCAAGTTATAACGTTCAGGGAACAAGTCTGCAGGCGGAGAATTCCACTCCACAGGCGTTCGCCAAATGAGTGTGGAAGCGTAACGCTTCGTGCGAATCTTTGGAATATCCACAATATAGGGGTGGAAGCCAAGCCTACGCCTAGTCCCCCGTTGATGGAAAGGGGAAGGCTGAATTAAATCGTGTAATTCCATTGTACACTCTCCGTGATATATCTTGTAAAATACCGATAAGCAGGCAACTTTACGGCGGTGTTCAAGGCTCTGCAGCTTCGCCTCTACTAATTCCGAGTCACCTATAAGGCTCTTGTCACGCTTGTCAATTGAATCCAAGGTGGCCAGTTGATATGTAGCAGAGCCATCCCAAAGGTGGCAACAATACTCCATACGCGACCGGACTTGTGCTTGATACAGCTGAAGCAACTGTCCCGGTGTGAAGTAACGCCTCACTCTGGAAAGGATGCCAAGCTTGCTGGCTGCATTTTTGGCCATGGATTCAATGTATCTGCCGAAGTTCCGATTGGACGACAGGTCCATTCCAAGTAGCTGGAGACGGTCGGCTATTGGTATGGATATATCACGAAAAGTCGGAGTCAGCTCAAAGGGACTCCGTTTAGTGGAGAATAGACACGCCTGCGTTTTGGTAGCGTTAAATTTTACAAGATTGGCATCGCCCCAATCGGGGGCTGCCTTGAGCGTCAAATCTAAACGGCTGACCATGGACTCTCGACAAGACTGGATTTCCTCTCCTCTGACCTTTGCATTGGTCAAGTACCTATCTACAACTGTGCTGTCATCAGCATACGCAAAGGTACCTGGAATTAACAGTACGGAACCCTGAGGAACTCTATCGCCATATGTTCGGAAGAGTAGCCTTCTAAGACCACTCGAATGGAACATTCACTCAAGAAATCCGAGATCCAATTGCCAAGCTCAGTGGGAAGCCCATAACATGGAAGCTTGCTTAAAAGGCTTGCATGCCAGACCCTGTCAAAAGCTTTAGAAATGTCCAAAGACACTGCAAGTGCTTTGTCTTGCTTTTCTATAGCCTCACTCCATATGTGACAGGCATACACAAGAAGATCCTCAGTAGATCTCCCTCATCGGAATCCATACTGGCGATCACTGAGGAGGTCATTGTCTTCAAGTTATGACAGGAGATGGTTGTTGAGTACACGTTCCATAGTCTTGCAGAGTATGAACGTGACTGAAATAGGTCTATAGTTGACAGGGTCAGCTCTGCTTCCCTTTTTGGGCACAGATTGCACGTTTGCAAACTTCCACGACCTGGGAACTACACCAGTCTCAAATGAGAGGCGATACAGGTTAACTTTCGGAGCGAGCTTGTTCGCTTAATTTAAAAAAAAACCTATAATTATTAGAATTAGTAATTTGTAGCCACGTTTATTGCTGTCTGAAACTTATGAGTTCAAACAACAGGTGTAATAGAAATATACCGAGCAGGAGGCGTTACTGCTATGTTGTCATTACCGAGTTCTCCTTCTTCTGGTGTGTCCGTAGTCAAATCTGCATTACTCGTACTGGCCGGTAAGTCCCTTCTCGGCGGCAGGTCCGGTGGGGCCGGTTCGGGTTGGCCAGCCATCGTTTCAGGTGGTGGCTGTGATGTCGGCGCCGAGCGCATACAGTACTTGATCGTCGCAAGCCACGACTTCATATCGTCCACATCTGTTGCTTCTATTACATATTCCATATTATTGTCTGCCTGTAAGAAGTAAATATACAAAATTGTATATGCTTATTTGAGATTTGCAAAGTTTTTACTTGAGTCTTTCTTGCCAGAGAAGGTACAATAAACACTACGAAGCCTCTGAGTTCAGGTGCAAATGCAGGTGGCATTTTGTGAATGTAGTGTGATTCTTCAAAATTATTTATTTTTTAACTTATTTGGGGCAACAAACAATACACACAATTAAAACTTTAACTAATTTTTTTACAGTAAATGATTGTGTCACCAACACTGTTAACTACTAATTACTACACTACGAATTTCAATAATTAAATAATTAAGGAAAAGAAATAATAATTTAAAAAATAGTTTTATGTACAATTCAAACCAATCATATGTTGGATTCCAAAAAACAAAGAATGGCTACATTTACAAATTCCATCGAGTATATAACCAGAAATAGAGACTAAATAAGGGCCATATATTCCTGGAAACACATTACAGCTCTTATAAATATCAACTCTCGTTTGCACTGAAATATAGACAGGCCAACTACTGACCTGTGTGTACGTTTCCATATATTCCAAAAAATATTCTGTATTTATTGTAATAAAGATAGCATCTCTAACAATGCCGCTCTGACATCTAATTACAAAACAAACAGAATCACATTTCATCAGTAATTAAATATGTAATTTTGCAATTTTCGTCCATTATAGCAAAGCTCAAGTTAATTGGTCGATTTGAAGTGAAACAGTTGACGACACCCGTCAATTGTTTCGAACTCGGGCTAGCCAATCGGAGTGCAGTTGTCACAGTAATATAATAATAATAATAATAATAATAATTCATTTATTTGTGAAAACACAGAGAGTTAGGTTAAGTAATTTTCTAGAGAATTAAATGACATTTCGCCTCTATTTTTGGTTATATACTCGATGACAAACCAAATTATGAAATTGCCAAAAAATTCAATGGTCATAAAAAAAATAATAAACCTAATTTTCCGTTATTGGCAAAAATGTGCTGATCCCTGGACACTTTTGATGTGTGTACTTGTAGTAAATAATTAATAGGTAAATTTTATTCATTAATTTATTGTAAATACATTTACACTATATACAGTTAAGAACTAATGCACCAAGAAAACGAAGCCAATAATACATTTGATTCCCTAGCATCTATAATTTCACAGAATGTCAAGCTACAATATTGATACAAAGACCTTCTAGAGATATACAGGTTCATTTGTAAAATACTAACAACCTCTCTAGACCATATTATTATTATTTCCTTAATGGCAGCCACTAGGCTTGGGCCAGTGTCAGTTTCGAACAATGCAGTCAGTTAATGTTGATCAACAGTTTCGAAGAACACAGTCAGTTAATGCTGGTCAAAAACGTCAACATATAGGGAGATGCCAGATGGGCGTTGCATCGTCGCAACTGCGTTATACTACATATAAATCAGAACGACATGCCACACGGTGTGTTGGAGCAGTGCGCGTCGATGGAATAGCTCGTGTGGCATGTCGTTCTGATTTATATGTAGTATAACGCAGTTGCGACGACGCAACGCTGACGCAACGCCCATGTGGCATCTCCCTAAGGCAGCTGCAAGGCTGCACGAAAAGTAACAAGTTTACCAAAAATAGTTTTTTAAGTTTTTAGGTCTATATTTGGTAGTAAGACACGAGTAGTAAGTTCCAATGTGCAAGAGTAAGCATCCTTTCTGACAATTTCTTTTGTTACCGCACAGATTTGGGAATGTATGGAGTGATCTATTTAAATACTTTTATTTTTGTATGAAAGTGAAATTTGATGAATGATTGAGTCATGGAACTAAATTAATGTTCATGATGTTAGTAATATACTTCATCCTGTAGGGTTGTTGGTATCTTACAAATAACCCCATATACAATACCATGCCCAAAATAAAGACATTAGTACAATAACTGCAAAATGACTGGATTTGTTACAACATTGTGATTTACAGCTGACTGATTCCAGACTGTGCAGCTACTCTCTAATTTACTTCAAGCGAAGGCATTATATAGATTACAAATTACAATACTTTTCCTCATTCATAATTTAATCATGACTCACCTTCAATACAAATGTATTTTCATGATCAGGCATCTCTAAAGCTGTAGTCTCCCTTGCTTCAGTGATAAGGAAGCAAAAAACACCACTTCTTGGCTTCTGAGCTTTGGGTGGGGAGTAGAATTCTAACATATAACCCCCCACTGTCTTCACAAGTGCTAATCTACATCTCTCCCACTTCTGGGGACCTCCAGGCTGCTCCAAGCTTTCTGGAGTCAAATAATTCACCAAGCCCTCTTTCCTACACTCTACAACTATCTTAGCTAACTTAGTCTTATTCTGTTTGTTTAAATTCGACGACAGTTCAACTTCGTCGGAATGCTGTTTGTGGAACAGGCCCTTGCCGCGCCTTAGCCCTTTAAATGATAGTCTCCGGAAGAATGGTTTGTGTTGAGTCTTTGGAGAGTCCGTGTCTTCAGAGTAGTCGCTCTCATCGTGAGCATGAGTTCCGTTTGGAACCTTATGTTGAGCTTTTAGCTTCACGATTTCGAATTCAAACTGGTCCGAAAAGCAGTCTACGAATCTTTTGAGTACGTCTTTATGTGAAGGTGGCGCGGGCCGGGAGGGATCGTTGCTGGTCTGTACATAGTGCAGGCACGCCTTGGCGAAGTCTTGGGCGGCAGCTTTGGCCTGACGCTCGCAAAACTCGACCCATCCGTCCGGCTCGCCGTCGGATGGGCCCGCGCCAGCCATGGCGAGCAGCTTCTTTAACAGCTCCACTTGGAATGAGATACTTTCACTAGCCACATTAAAACATACCGCTAAAAACCTATTAATTCAGAAAACTACACACTCTTAAAGTTGAGTTCATGAAGATTCTCGTTATCAAAATATATATTTATGATGCTCCACAATCACAAGGTTTTCTTGCGAAAACAAGTTTTGTTGCCATATGGAAAAAAAAATAGTTTATTTTTATTTTATTAGTTACAGTGTCATCTGACGGCCAGTAGAAGAATAATTTAAAGATCGCCATCTAGTATTTAATAGAAAAATTAAAAAGTAAGCAAGCATCGTAATAGTTAGTATTTACTGTCACTAGATGGCATCGATATTAACTTGTACCATCTTCACGAGATGGCGCTAAAATAAATATTAGTTCTTAATTATATTGGAAGATGTCATGTTAATTTTTTTTTATAGACTACAACAAAGTCAATGTCAAATTATCTTTATAGGTAACCAAATTACTGGTATTGGTGGTATTTATTATTAGGGTAGTCATAAATTTGACTTTCTTATTATTTTTTCTTATTAATAATTTTGGTTTGGATACAAGTCCTTTGAGACATGTCTTCGTTTAATTATGTTTCTGTAAATATGGCCGCCCCGAAGAGGATAGGCAATTTGAGGCGGCGTGCTTGGATTGACTCGGGATTCCTTAGAACGCGCGAACGGGCCGATACGGGTATTTTAGTTGGAGATTCGTATAATTTCGCGTTTTAATCTTCGATTAAGGCACAATAGCACTATCCTATTCCACTTTAAGCTAGATTTCACAAAATAATTGAAAGTCAAAATAAAAACGACACTTTTCCCTCCACAGCGAACCCAGAACCCAGAGCGAATCTTGACTTTCTTTATCAACGATCGTGGACTATCTGATTGTTTCACTTGAGTGGACCTCGGGCAAATGATTTTTACCTTACGGTCACAAAGATTAACCCGCTAGGATGCACTCCCCTCATCTACGATCAAGTATATTTTTACTCGACAGCGTTAGAAGGAGGTTTATTATACTGATAGTACGAAACAGAATAGGAAAATGTTACACTAAGCAAAATAAATAAAGAAATAATTTTTTTCATCTATTTTGCAAGTTTAACTTCTACCAGTAGAAGTTCAGTCGTGCAAAGCAAAATATTATTATTTTAGATTAGCAGACGCCGTTGCTATTGCAACAAGAACGGTGTGTGTTTTGAGGTAACCACGCATTAGAAATTATTGCGAAACATTAACATGAAAAAATGGGGATTTTTTTGTTTTCGTTCACTAATGTGTTCTATTACTGAATCTTACGCACAGAAAAAAAAATGATCAGCGATTTGTTTTCACCCTGTATAGAAGCCTGTGGTAGCCTATTGGTATGACCTACCGCCTCCCAAGCAGAGGCCAAATATGGTTCAAATATGGGCTCGCACCTCGGAATTTATATGCGAAATGTAATTTGAGCTTTTCAGTGAAGGAAAACATCGGGATGAAACCTGCACGTCCAAGGTTCACAACCCTCGGACAAACGGGTCAAGTCCCAAACCCGCATTGGACCAGCGCATCGGACTATGCCTAAACTCTCGAGATCCGTGCCAAGAAGTACGTACGTTACGTATACGTTTTGATGATGACGGTGATGATGATTTTATATAATTTGAGATTATAAGATTCGATTAATTACCGGGATAATAAAGAAGGAGAACAAGGTCGCTGGGTATGGATATAGAGTCTTTTAAAAGTTTGCAAAACTTCGAGAGGTCGAATGTTGACAACTGCATAATCACATTCAAATGTGTGTGATTATCAAATGCTGCAGGCAAATTGGCGTATAAAAATGATTTTCCCAGCCTTGATTATTCCGCGGCGTGGTCGAAAGTCTTAGTATAAGTGGCCAAAATAGATTCGTGATTCGTGATTCGATTTGGAAATAAATTAAAAAATTTATTTTCCAAAACGAAATTACATTGGTACTTAAATCTATTCTACTTACTGCAACCCCTTTAACAGGTTTATACGTAGGTAGCTACAGTCATCGCACAGCTTAATGCGTTTTGTTTTAGAAAAAGAAAAAGAAAAATATACTAAATTATAAGAAATAATATCAAACAAGAGAAATTGTAACTATTGCTACTAATAATAATATTTTAAATTTTTATTACATTAACTGATATTACTATTAACTAACTAACTAATTAAGTAACTAACAATATTTATATTGATCACATTTTCCATCAAACAGTACTAGAGTATTGTATGATGAAAGATATATGTAATATTTTTGTAGTCAAGTATACACCAACGAAAAATTCGTACGTCGACGTTATAGTACATTTATATTTCTTTGTCTGGATTTCTAAGTGGTGGCGCGTCCATAACCTGTGTCTCACACTTGTTTTCACAACAAAAAAGGAACAATATTAAAAAAAAATACTACCCCACTTGTCTTTGTAATGAATATTACTATCTATTAATTCAATGAATTATTAATTTAACAGTCTAATTCAAAGCAACATCGCACCTAACTAATTAGAAAATCTTGTGAGCGTCGGACAAGTTTCCGACTCATAGGGTCGTATTCTAGAACTCTACTCAATACTCAAGTCAGGACTTGAGTATTGCAGTGAGCACTGTAAATCATACTCAAGTCCTTGCCATTAGGGTCGTAGTTCCAGTGCTTGAAATCATACTCAAGTCTGCTCAAATCCTGACTTGAGCATTGAGTACAGTTCTGGAATACGACACTTAGCTCCTACCCCTTTCAGTGTACGCCAACGCACAAGGCAGTCACTGCGCAGTCCGGAGACTGTGAAAGATCATTCCATACTAGGCTTGCCAGATGACCGGGAAATCTGGGTTGTCCGGAATGCTTCGTCTTGTCCCGTGTCCCGTCCCGGATTCCAAACATTCAGAAGTTGTTTTTACATACTTACTAGAGTCCTTTTCATAAAAGAACTCCCGCAGACGCAGCGCTGTGTATTTTCTCTTTATAATACAACGATTAAAAATATTATCGAGGCCTAATAAAAATACCTATTCATATCTATCTCCCTTACAATAGTAGAATTGTCCCGGAAATGATTAGTCAGTTTCTCGCAACCCTATCTCCTACCGTATGTGGTCTATGTACTGGTGTTTTTAGTTACTTAAAGATTCAATGTTGACTGGTGTATTCTCGCTATGTTGATTATACTAATCGATATTTATCTACTTATAATAAAATTAGCATCACGATAACATGGGTATACGGAAACCGACTTACCAGAACAAAATGAATGAAAATCATAGAAAAATAACAATTAAACTTAATGATACAGGTCAGCAAAGTCAAGTCAGTATCAAGTGTCTGGTGTTGTAAATAAGTAAATAATAAGTTTTGTGAGTAAATTAAAATAGGCTAAGTGTGCATTGGCGATCTATAAGTATGCAACAATGGGTAAATAGAACTACTTGATTCAGATTCAGATTCATTTATATCTCAAATATAACATTACAGTATAAAATGCACTACACGTCAAAGTATAAGAAATTATATTGAGATCGTCAGACAAAAAGGAAAATTATAAGAAAAGCACACAATAATTAGAAAATTAACAATTCATTATAATATTGTTGTCATTAAATTATATATCAAATATCCATTCTCCATCAAGGATCGTCATAAGATGAACTTGGAACTTTGTTCAAAGCAGATGGTTTATTTATTAATTTTTACTTTATTCCTTACGAACGCACTAATTACAATAATTAAAGACACATAAAAATAATTAAACAAAAAACGCACACTTTCATAGTCCCGTACTAGGGAAAACCTCTGTCGCGGGTGCCATGAACACACACATATAACACCACAAATTACACCCAAACTCACGAGAGAAATAAATGTAGCCCATACAAATATTTCTACCGGCTCTCGAATCGAACCCGGGACCTCTGCGTGGCAGGCGGACCGGCATTATAACCCTCAAACGGCAGGGGCAGTAGAAATTATATGAAATTAAGTACAGTCATATACACAAGATACCTGACCCCCAAGCCGACTTTGGCGACCTTTTGGTTCTGAGCACAAGAATGTGGAGAAAATTGTTAAACAAACTTAATCTTTAACAATTTATTTTGGTATGGCTCCCTAGTCGTCTCATTACGAATGATATTGTAAGAAAGTTTTTAAGCCAATGTGATCTTTAACGTATAGTTCTTATATAGTTAGATCACATTACTCTTCAAGACATGGATATTGAGATAACAAAGTTACAAATCATTCAAGTTTTTCTACGTAACGTCCACAATATTGGATATGACGAAGAAGATATTTTGAAATTGACTATTCGGCAGTAAGTTTCAAACAACATAATATTAATATTAACTAATGATGTTCTTAACGTTGTCTATTGTTATTATTTACCAGAATTAGGCATCTGGAGGAAGTTATATTCGGTTATCAATTCAAGGAAATGCGTGGTCTTGAAACTTTTTTCTCCTACATCGACCCTGATGAACTTTTGGCTACCACAGAGTTGGTGTTCTTACCCACCCTTATTAATAGCGGGTTAATTATGAGTACCCGGTTTGATAATATTTATATCGAATTATGATAAAACTTCGTAACAAAATGTTCACATGCCTGAATCGTTTTAGAGAGATGACGATTTCGATGTAACTCAGAGATACTTGTGCGTCATACCCGGAATGGAAGGCCATCATGAGAGATTCCGAATGCTGTGCGAGAAAAGTCAAGATGCCCGCCATCGTGTTGCAGCCAGGTCTCGACTTGTTGCAAGAAAGCATTCAGGAAACTACCGAGAGATACGCCCAAGTACTTGTAAACATTTAGACCAGGTTTTCTCATTGAAATAGTTTTGCTTACTATAATAATTATTTTTTCTTTTAGCTGCTTACTAGGATATGAATCTGGAGTCCTAGTAGCCTTAGAGACGGCTGCTGTCCTGGAAAAACTCGATTTGACTGGCACGGTCTTCTGTATTGGTGGTACTCCAGTGGAGCTTCAAGACACGCTTATGGATCAACTTAGTTAATATGAAACTGAAGAAAGATTGCAAGATGAAGTGGGGAGGTACATGTTCAGTTTGATGAATAATTATGAAGGGCTAGATCAGGCCCTCGCGAATGCACCGTCGTGGGACGACAAGGTTCAAGCGTATGTTGGAGTTTTGTTAGGAAGGGTGCCACATTCAGCTCAGTACACTCGAGCGTGGATTAATGCGGCTTACAGGAGAATAAATCAGATGCGATTGTATAAATCTCGGTCGCGACAACTTCGTTCGAAACTCACCTTACTCCGAGCGTCTTCTCTTAGCCCTCATCCTCAAACGAGACAACGATGGCTTTAATGCAACGTTACTCCAAGCAACCAGTGGTAGTGTCAGTTACGGGTTCCTCTGGCACACGCGACTTATGACCTGCGCTGTGGATCGATTGTAAATAGGCATTTAGATGACGAAATTCAGTTCTGTTACTTTTATAAAAGCCTCTCGTGTTTAATTATCTGTTTCTTATTTTTTGGTAAAGTGTGAATTGGTAACAAAAGTATATTAAGGTTTAAAAAATAAATATCGTGTTTTTATGAGACAAGCATGACAGCAGGGTGCACCCGATTTTAATAGATACAGCCCTTATTTAATAAAATTTTCGTGACAATATTCACGTTTTATAATCATATTGTTAATTCAGATAATTTTTATTGTTTGCATTTACGATCACGTTCTAGGTGAAATGTATATCTGTCAATCATATCAATATATCAATCTATTTAGTTATGTAAACTGAGGTTTATAAGTCATAAATTGTCATTAAAAATGAGTGTAAGTGTTAATGATTGTTATAAAGAAAGAAATTATGGAATTTAAGTTTATATTAAACGTAAAGTGAATTGTTATATGAAAAAAATTTATATTAAATAAAATTATATACATGAGCGTTAATTTAAAAATATTTGTATACCAACAGTTAGGTTGTTGTAATCAATTGTCAATAGAATCTAGTTTATTTGTGTATTGTTTTGATGTTCTTACAGGTTCTACGAGTAAGAAGTAAGAATTGATTCAAAACGAAAAAAAGTGATGTAAGCGTACATTTATTTAAACTTTCGCACATTATTTGATTTTAAGTTCGGAGCTTAATCGTGCATAAAACCATACTTTATTTACCACGACATTTCGAAAGTGTTGCAACGTCGATGGTCTCGAAGAAACTGAAGAGGCGAGTGTCAACATCTTCTGATTCTCCTCTTACATTAATGTAATTAATGTTTTTATACACGATAAAGTCCCGAATTTAAAAATCAAATAATAAGTGATAGTTAAGGTATCAAAAACAGCATGCTACTTACAACTACACTTTTCAAGGTATAAATTATTTTATATGATGTTTAAATTCTATCCTAGAAGAAATTGTTACTTAGCCATAAGTTCGCCTGTTGCACATTAGCATACTCTGTGATACTTACATTACATTGTTTCTGTGTTGCCATTGTAATGTTAATGTGCAATAACTAATACTTTATTCATTTAATCACTCAAATTTTCGCCGAGTATTCTGTGTCTTTTGTGCAATAAAGAGTATTCATTCAATGCAATTAATAAAACACTATTTTTCTTTATTACAAAAAATATTACAATAAAAAGTCTTAATAAAAATCACTGTGATCATCACTCGGAAAAGGTCTTAGCAAGTTTGTCGACTATTATGCGAGTCCTCTCCGACAAGTATTGGTCAATTTGACCCAGAACTTTGACAACATGCAGCATCTTCTGCACTCCTTTCTTGAACCTGCAAATGAATTATTTACTACTGTAATAATTATACAAATGTCCGTTTCAGTCCGTTTCAGTCCGTTTTAGGTCTTTTTTACCGATGATATAATGATAAGTGGTAATCGTACAATTATTGAAAATTATCAACATCATCATCATCGACCCATTTATATGTCCCACTGCTGGGCACGGATCTCCTTTTAGACGAGGGTTTAGGCCATAGTCCGCCACGCTGGTCCAATGCGCGTTGGGGACTCCACACGTTTTCCGAGGGTTGTGAACCTTCTTCAACGTACAGGTTTCATCACGATGTTTTCCTTCGCCGTAAAGCTCATGATAAATTTCAAATTAGTTTTCGCACATAAGTCAAAGTCAAAGTCAAAGTCAAAGATCATTTATTCCATAGGTAAAATAAATTTACACTTGAAAACGTCACATTTACATTACATTAAGCTACTGTTCGTTCACTACGCTGATTTCCCTGAGAAGAACGAGCAAGAGACTCTAGAGATTGCTCTTTTCAAACAAACTTAAATGCTATGGAATACACTTTGAATCAAATTTGTGTGGATTCTGGAGCCGTGTCGTCTTTCCATACATCTTTATCTAACACGTAGTCTTCAATTTTGTAACATGACATGTATACAGTTCCGCATAAAAAAGTCGTTTACCTTGGTTAAACGAAATCGTGGTACCATGAGTTTGGACTTAGCTCTAAGGTTAATATTATGGATATCTTCTTTCTTATTGAAATTATGTACATTTTTACGGGCATATAAAATATTTGAGTAAATGTACTGTGATGGCACAGTCATGATACCAGTGCCCTTAAATTTTTCTCTGAGAGAAACCCCAGAGCCTAGACTAGAGGGCAAAAACTATTTAAAACTAAATATTTGTTGTATTTAAATTGAGTTTTGTTCAAATTAAATGATATTAATACGGAATGCTTTCTGATCTAGGCGATTTTTTTGCCTTTCTATTGATGTTCGATTCGCTAGAAAATGCATTGAAATAAATCGATACAAAAAATCGTAAGATCGTATGCTTCTTCTTCTTAGTGTGCCGCTTCTCAACGAAGGCGACCATCAGCTGTTATTCAGCAGCATTCACAGCAGCTCTTCTCTTTTTTGAAGCTGCTGCACGAAAAAGGGAACGTGTGCTAGGGCGGAACCAGTCCCTCAGATTCTTCGGACGGAATTCGCCCTAGGAAGTACCGCCACTTTATCTATATCTGCCGCCAAGCAGTAATGTGAGCAGTTAATGCGTTCCGGTTTTGTAGGGTATATAAACGAGCTCGTGAAATTTAAGGTACGTGGGACTTGTTAATTTATGTCTCAGGGTGGTGGGCACAATGCAGTGCCCCTTAGATTTTTGCAATTTAAAGCTCTGAGTGGCACTGTCACAGTTATGGATAGGCGTGTCGCTTACCACCAGGCGAACGACTTGTTCATTAAGTTATTTGGTATTATAAAAAAACAAATATTCCATTAGTCAAACTTAAAAATGTAGATTAGAAATAATAAATTGTGCAGTGTGACTAACCTCTCCATACGTTCAGCACTCGACTCCTCGTCGGCAGAATCTCTTTGGCTTCCAAACCTCATCGGAGAACCGACTCTAGGCGCCAACGGGCCTTCGAACGTTTTTAAGCGCGGCACTTTCAATTTCGGAACTCTTACTTTTGGTATTTTAAATTTTGGTCCAAATTTCGGAATGAAACCTTTAGGAGGTAGTACCGATATAGAAATTGGTTCGTTTCCGAAACTGCTTTGGTCTGGATCTCTGATTAAAAGGAATTTCCCGTCCTTGACGGCTTCTGGGATTGAGTTATGAATAAGGCTGCAGAACGAGTCAGATCTGTATTGATTATTCGAGTTTTGGTGTGATCTTGGTTTGTAGATGGAGTTGTAGGGAGCGTCCTGAAATTGTTTCAAAAGTTATGTTATTAGTAATACTTGCATATTATTTCCCATAGGTCTTTAACGTTGCATTGAACCCGTACCTACATTGTTCGGTTACCAGCAATGAATGTACGTGCGTATTGTATTAGTAAACTAGTCCTTGTAAACTATGATAATAACATCTTTCCACATAGTGTTTGCATTTGTCGTATAAATTAAACGCCTTATTAAGATTTCTGTTAAGAAAACTGAATTGAGAATCTTCGTAATAATTGTTAAACAAAGATCAAACACTTAGAAAAAAATCACTTCGATCAGATTGGATTCGAACCAACGTTAACGACTAAGCCACGGAACGGACCTCACGAATTTTTCCATGTGTTTGTTGCAGATCCTTGTTAAGGCTTTTAACGACTTCTTGGCAGTAGTCAACATCTGTGAGAAATCTATGGAAGTTTTTCTTCACTCAGCGAGGATACAGCTACCAGCCGCTGACTAGAGTTGTCACTTTGTATATAACTAAGTTTTAATTGAATATCAAGATGGTGAAACATCTTGGCATTCAATAAAACTTAATAACAATGTTCGAAATAGATTACAATCATCATCATCAACCTCATCATTACATACGTCCCACTGCTGGGCACTAGTCTCCTTTAACTAGAGCGCTCAACTGAGAAGCAATCGCTCTTCCAGTGGCCTACCATCGTTCTGTAATACTAAATAGGTAATAAATAATAATATAGTCGGATTTTAAATTAGAGGTAGTAAAGTGATAGCTTAATAAGTCAGTTTGAAAAACAATGTTGTTATGTTTATATTGATGTGATTAATTCAGTTCTCAATTAACTCACTGAAATAGTACCAGTCATAACGAAACGTTAAAGATTAAAAAAAAATGTAAATAACACAAAAACATACGAAAACACTGTTATGAAATGTGGACTATTTTTTAGCTTAGCCTCTGAGTACTCACATTACTATTATCAAATTCATGATTTAAAAAGGAATTGATAATTACAAATTATCGAAGAAAATTACCTTGATGCTCTATTGAGTGACTCAGTATAAGACATCACAGTTTTTATTTTATCAAAAACGTAATCGTTACTTTACATTCATTAAATAAAAATGTTAATGTAAATAAATCAATTAAGTACGTTTTGCAAAATAATCATATATTTTTGCTGAGCATTCTTCTTTATACAAGAATGTTATATTATGTGTTCAGCAAATTAGAGCTAATTTTAATGAGCGAAAAGTTTCTTTACATACCTACTCGTAAGCATGTAATTACAATTATGTAATGCGTTTGATACATTACTTCGATAATTAGGGTCTCGCTGTCAAAGTTTACTGTGACAGCTGTCGCCAGCGATTGCGTAAATAACTTCACAATGTTGTATGGCAAATTATACAGGGTCTCTAGTGGTCACAAGAAGAAACAACATTTTGTACGAAAAGTCAAAGTCAAACAATCATTTATTCCATATGTAAAATAAATGTACACTTGAAAATGTCACTTTTAAGCCGCTGCTCGTTCACTATGCTGACTTCCCTGAGAAGAACGAGCAAGAAAGTCTAGGAATTGCTCGTTTCAAATAAACTTAAATGCTATGGAATACACTTTGAATCAAATTTGTGTGGAATGTAGAGCCGTGTCGTCTTTCCATATATCTTTATCTAGCGCGTATTTTGCAATATGACTTTTCAATTAAAATATTTTTAATGTAGTTTTTAAACTTAGGAAATGATGCTGCGGAATCTATGAAAGAGTCGTTTATGAGTTTGGATTTAGCTCTAAGGTCAGTATTATGGATATCTTCTTTCGTTATAAAATTGTGTATATTTTTAAGGGCAATACATTCATTACAATACAAACATTTTACGTGGTCGCTAGTGATAACTGTCAATGTAATCTCTTGGTAGAGGCATGATCTCAAACTAGGGAATTGCCTGTTCTGTGAGTACCAGAGAAACGGAATTCACTATGGCGCATTACCCAGAACATCATTTAGTAGCAGTATAGCTTCTTGTGAAAGAGTTCGTCCAGGGAAGTATTGCCACCTTAGCTATTTCCGGCGTCAAGCAGTAATGCCAGCATTACGGTTTTGAAGGGTAAGAGTGCTGGTGAAATTACAGGCACATGGGACTTGTCAACTTATGTCTCAGAGTGACAGATTTTTGCAGTTCAAAGCTCTGAGTGGCACTGCAACTGCTACGGATAGGCCTGTAGCTTACCATCAGGCGCACGACTCGTTTGCCCCATCACTTGATATTATAAAAAAATCCAGGTACTTAATTTCCCAATCTCGTCCTACCGAGAATCGAACCCGGACTTCCACCTTCAATGCTCACAGTGCAAACCGTTGGACTATCGAGGTCATCAACAGACGAATAGAATCAGATGACCTACAACAGATTTTGTTAAATATAACAGAATGTTCGCTTCTGGAGTGGTGTTTTGGTCGTCGTTTGCTTTAACTTTGAACTACCCTTGTGATGAATCCAAAATAATTCAGAATATATTTCTTAGTCCTGTTATGGATCAATAACTTCAGAGACTGCTAATAGCGACACAAGAAAGCGTAATCAGGTATTTAGTACCTACTGGTACACCAGATGTCGCGACGAGTACCAAATATTGTTTTCTTTGTAACTAATTTGTTTTTACATTGACAAGCTGCAATTTATCAAAGCTACTCTAATTTCTAGTGATAACAAGCAAATCAACTAGATGGCGCTTATTGCACAGATTTTTATGGATACTGGATATGGATATGCTATGATATGATCTTTTATTTTATTTGGGATTAGTGCCATTTACCCACATGAGCAAGCGCTATTTTTTGAATCAGGTAGTCTATAACACACAATACAAAATATTGTTGCGCATATTTGTCAAAGTTCAGAAAATAAATTTAGCACATGATCAATATTTTTTTTATAATATCAAGTAACGGGACGAACAAGTCGTCAGCCTGATGGTTAGCTACATGCCTGTGCATAACAGTTGCAGGGCCACTCAGAGCTTTAAACCGCAATGATTTCAGGGGCACTGCCACTGCGCCCGTCACCGTGAGGCATAAGTTGACAAGTCCTGTGTGCCTGTAATTTCACCAGCACCCTTACCCTTCAATACCGGAATTATGTACAGTTTCATACACTGCTTTATCTATACACATATTTAAGCTCTTTATGATGTGTTCAGGGACCGCATGTTACGACTGGCGAAATGGCGGCAAATAAAAACTTTTCTCGCGCATGTCACACAATTGTAGTTTTTATTTAATTCATAGATAAATTAGACTATTAGAGTCGGCCCCAACTATCATATCGTTCGATATCAAGTAACGTGTGAAATTTGTCAAAGTTGTTTGCTATTGACATTTCATTTCGAATAAAATTTCATCTCGACTGATATTAGAATTGAGGTCGAATCAAATTGTTTTCTTTTTCACAGATGTTCGAAATTTAAATGTAATAATAACATCGAATTCGATCATTGACTTACAAATAAATGGACGACGGGTCTAATACAAAAACCACGAAAAAAATGTCCCAAGTCAACCTATTCGAAATTTAAATTGTAATGTCATCGCAGTATCGCGCTGTCCGTAGAACAAATGAAGACTAAAGCGGAGTGTCGCGCTCTGTATACGATTTTAGCGCTTTACAAGTGCGGACACTTTTTAGCGCGGACCCGACGTCCATATAATTGTAAGTCAATGAATTCGATGCAAATAAGAAGCAATAATAACATTTTCACAGATAAGAAATTTGTTCTAACAAAACAATTTATCTTTATGCTGGAGGGTTTATGATATATGTGAAGATAAAACACTTTTTTACATATTTCCCAATTTTTTTCAACTTTAAGTCGCTTTTATTGCTAAATAATTGAGCTGATATTGCGTTATAACTACGGAACCCTATCCTAAGCGCGTTATACCAGTTCTTCGCTAATTGTTTATTAAAATTTGTGGGTAACACAAATTATGATGATGGTGGTTTGAACTACTTATGACAAAATAAATAATTTACATGACCTATTAAAGATGTTTTAATTTATTTCTACGGTATTTGTTTATTTGTGAAAGTGAGTAGATTATGCAACTCTGGTTTTGTCGTGGTGTCGACATGGAGCATGGCATAGTATTAATTTGTTAACGTTTTTTAATAATGTGGTTTTGATCTTTAGTCTGCGCAAAAAGGGTCGATTGTGTTATTGATTTCAGTTTGTTATCAATTGGTGATTTTTTACCGACTTCAAAACAAGGAGGAGGCTCTCAATTCGACTGTACGACGTATGTTACGCTATAACTCACGCATTTGTGAACCGATTTTGATGATTCTTTTTTGTTGGAAAGACGTAACCTCGGTAGTGGTCCCATTTAAATATGAAGAAAATATTCCGCCTCTAAGGGTGGCAAACAAGGGGATGAATTAGGTTTCGCGCAGTTTGCAAATAGATGTAAATCCACAAACTTTTGAGGTCGGTTGTTTTAGTACTGTGTACTGAGATTATTAATTTTGCAACTTGTCATTTTAATTCGTAATAATATTGTAAGAATCGTAAAACTTCTTTTAATGTTTTAAATAATTAATCGTAATTGCTTTTAGGCAATTTATTTTAATTTCATTTAATTGTCGCATTACTGACTGTGCATTTCCGGTTATCTACACCGCCATTTGTTAGTTTCAGTCTTGTAATGTAGCGAAAGTGTCATAGCGCGAAAAATGGCGGGGAGATGGCAGGAAATCTGAGAGGCTCGGTAAAGTCTTACGGGTCTCCCCGCAAAGTGTAAAAACTTTTATTATTTTATTATTGGTCAACTGCTCTAAAATAATATTACACTATTTTGTTATTCTTTATTCCATCCGTAAAAACCTCTTTGAGAAACAGTTCGTACAGGGAAGTAGTGCCATCTTACTTGTTTCTGCCGCCAAGCAGTAATGTGAACAAACGCGTTCCGGTTTTGAAGGATAAGGGTGCTGGTGAAATTACAGGTACGTGGGAATTCAACTTATGTCTCAAGGTGACGGGCGCAGTGGCAGTGCGCCTCGGATCTTTGTGATTCAAAGCACCGAGCGACACTTCAACTGTTATGAACAGGCGTGTCGCTTACCACCAGGCGCACGACTTGTCCGTTCTCTCACTTGATATCATAAATAATCTCAGTATAGAGTACTAAAAAAACCGACCTCAAAAATACGTGGAATTACGTCTATTTGGTAAGTTTTATTGAAATATGTTCGCCACTATACAGGACTTGATACTGGAGATAATAAAAATCGGTTTTCACTACTCAAAGTATATCGACAGAAAAACGCCTTGAATTGGAGAAATAGCAATATCAACCATTAAAGTAATTGCTCCTAAATTAAAGTTAGGCGCTGTTTATAAAAATGAATCTTCATGCGTGAACAGCCACCCTTCGAGGTGGATGATTTTCTTCAAAATGAAATGGGACCACTATGGAAGTACCCGCTTTCCTATAAAACAGAATCAAGAAAATCGGTTCACAAATACCGGAGTTATCGCGTAACATACATACAAAAAAAGAACGACTGTATGTTCTCTAATTGAGAACCTCCTCCTTTTTTGAAGTCGGTTAAAAAAGACGTGGCCTGTTCTAATCCTTTCATTCTAGTACGTATTAATGTTTTGCATATATGATATATAATAAACGCATATAAGCACTTATGTTAAAAGGTCACTCACCGATCCTTTAGAACAGTCTATAGCGAGTTTCAATGGCGGTGGAGCCTCCACTAAGCTTGGCTCTATCTGAAACTAATTGTTTAGTATTATTTATGGGTAAACCTAACAACAGCTGTATTATTATCATAACGACATTCACGGATACGCGTGTTTTAACGGGATTTTCATCTTAATTTTCAAGCAAGGCAAGTAAACTTCTCGAGATCTCCAAAATCACTGCACTATTTTTTCCCTTATAGGTTCACTTGGCGTCTTCCAGGAAACAAAAGATACGAACCAGATAAAGGGTAATCACCACGTAACGGAGCATGATCTCGGCACACTCGCATTATAGCGAGCGCATGCTATAACTGCGAATCCTCACGTATGAGCAATATTTGCTCATCAGCGAAATCGAGTACCGCCCTGAATAACTTAGTTTGCGAGTTTGGTTATCTGCATGGTAGAGCGAGTAGCCAAGTTCTCTAGCTCTCGGTGATATTCTGGAGACTTGTACCTAGATTTTCAGGACACAATTTCGTAAATGTTTCGTACCCTCTTGGTTTATTCAAACTACACGTGATCATCCGTCTAATGTGCTCTTATCACACGAAAGTTATAAAAATAATACGAATTACATGCAATAAATTATTCATATTCATCATTATTCATAACTTTTTTGTGTACGGGAAATATGTAGCTTAGGTCCCCGAGAATCGTGTATACCTTTGTTTAAAACATTTTTGAAGTGTCTATTTTTGTCAATAATAATTATAAACGTTTTAAAAGGACACGGGACGTTCACAATAAAATTTCAAGGTTCCCAGACAGATTAGTAAATCACAGTAGTACCAAATTAAGTTACTACCAGAGACAATCTGGGGCAATGTGTGTGAAAATATATAATATATAATAATATAAATATATAAATTTTACCTTTTAATATAAAAGATATAAATAATAATCATTTATTTAAACATAAGCTGATGTCATGGCTGAGAGATAAAAATGTCTATTCCATTACAGACTTCTTTTCATATAAAGCTCTTCAAAGACTATATAATTGATTTGACCTATAATGACATGAATTTATTATATTATTATTATTTTATTTTTACTTGTGCGTGACATGACAATAATTTATTATTAATTACTTATAACATGTTTAATTAATAACTCTAGTTACATTATTAGAATTAATTTCAGACTTATAAAATATTTAATGTAATAAAATTTGCAAGCCAGTTTTGGTAAAATATGAAAATTGTTACAATAAACCACCTTTTGTAAAGCATATTTTACTAAACGTGTGTTTTACGTAATATTATCGCCTTCTAAAACGTCATATAGACGGGGGAATCCTCAAATTAACATTTGATAAAAAAGGTGTTACCTATGACGTGCTTCTACTCCGAACACGAAACCAAACGATCGCGTCGTAATTGAATACCGTCATAATCTAACGATCATGATGGACAACTTGGCTCTTAAATAGCTCACGAAAATATTACATTGGCATTGATTATTTTATTGTGGTACTTTATGAAGTGGATGTCGAGAAATCAGTCTCCGCTTATCTATATTACGTGCTTCGTTGTGATCTTAAAATTGAATCTACATAGTTAAAGGTGCATCTTAGGTGATATTGTGAAGTAGTGAAAGATGGAGTGGCTATTGACGGGGTGCTATGCAGGCAGTGTGGTCACGTATCTGATTGCAAGGAGTTACTTTGAGAATGAATTCAGGAAGGCTCGTGCTGGTGATACTCGGCGTGGTACTTATCGTAGCTGTTGTAGAGGTATGGAACTTTGTTTATTTTTCACATTTATTATTATTGACAAGTACTAAATTGCTTTTGCAGAGTGCTTATAAAATAAAAGAGTGAGTGCTTAATTAAGTATTTTATTGAATGTTTTCTCTATGTTTCTTTCAGACAAAATTACTGTAATTAATAATAAATAAATGATTGTAATGAATAACTATAATTTTCAATTTACACTCGTGTAAAAAATATCAAATAAGTCCAAACGTTTTCGTAGACAATATCTTTATTTATTAATCTTTTAGGTAAAATATAAATAAGTAAAGGTAAATTAAAGATAAAGATTTATTTTTATTTATATTTCTTAGTGTTAATTGCAACATTTCAGGGCAGTGCCTTTCTTCAGAATTCTCTGCGTTACCCGAGAGGGCTCAAAGAGTGTTTCACGTGCCGGGCAGAGGACCAACCCCCGTGGTACCCCCTGGTCAAATACTTCAACAAGATGAAGGACTCTGTAGTACGAGGCGTCAACGCTCTTATGGACAATGTTAAAGAAAAACTCGCATAGTGCTTATGCCAATGAGTGCCAAGATTCAGTACTGGATGGTGTGTAGATTGAAAACTATACATACTGCCCCTTGAGAGTGCAACGCGATGATCTGCACCTATATTATGACCTATATGTATTGTACAAATATTTTATTATTTTATACGATTAGGCTTATGTGCGATTGACATAAGTAAATAAATGTTAAGGTAAAAATCGGTTACTTTGAATCATTTAGCTTTAGTTAATTTACGATTGAAGGTATTTTACTTTCATAACAATATAAAATTTTGTTATTAGTAAGAGTATATTTATTTATTTTTTATTAGTGAAAGTACGTACTTACCTCTTTGTATTTTTTTAAAATTTAAAATTAAACCATTTTAAAGAAAATGCTTTCATTGGAATTTAATTTCATTTAAAATTACATAAAAAGAAATTAAATCTCTGCAAATAAATACGTTTATGAATATCACAAAGGTAGACATTTCTTAATGTTTGATAATTCAGCGTTCGTTAAAGATCCTATTTTGTTTAATATTCACACTTTCCCTAAAATATTCTCCTGCCTCTTTGCCATAGTGTACGGAAGAGTCACTGTTCTAATTCCTGCATCCAACACCTTTTGAAGTGGTGATCTTTTCCCCAAAATGGGTATTTTTAAAGGCTTCAATGACATCGTAGGTGCACTAGAAAATATTGGTTTAAATGGTATTGGAGTGTATGGTAATGGATGAACAGGAGTTATTATAGAAATCGGTAAAGAAGGTTGAAAAGGTAAAGTACGCTTGAGCAGAAGAGACGGTACTGTTGTTATTGCTGGAAGGAATGGTACTTTAGGTATTATTGGTAATGTTGGTAGGTAAGGTGGTCGTTTTAAGGACATAGGTACAAAAGGTAATCCTGGGATCAGAGGTAAGCCTCCTGAAAAGGGGGAAAAAGGCTTTCTCAGAGGTGAAAGTGATCGGACAGGATCAGATAGTTTTAAAGGAGGTGGTTTTGCGGGTAGTTTGGGACGAGATAAAGGGGATATGAGGGGATTAGAGTGAACATTAATAACGACGGGAGATTTGTGCGAATATTTTTTTATAATAACCGGTGCACAATTGGGTTTAGTGTCCCCTGCGAAGAGACCGAGGTTGATTCCTTGCGTTGAACGAATCTGAGAAGGTAAAACGGTAAGAATATCTTAATTTTATGGTGCCCGCCATGTTTCAGACTGCCTAGTAAATAATGGATAATATACAATTTAAAATTAACGGGGTCATTCCTGATAAATTTAGAAATGTGTAAATAACATAATAATGCTTCTCAATCAACTGATAAGTACAAAATGAACCATAGTCAAACTATGTCCCGCAACATAATTATGAAATAATCAAAAGCAATGTCTTTAGACAATCCTTGGATAGAAAAGTTACCTTATGCAAAGAGAGTTGCATTAGATTAACATCTATTGTAACTCTTATTATATTTTGTTGAGGTATGACGAACAAATTTATTTTATGTAACAGGTGAATTACACATACTAAGAATAAAATATATCGGTAATTGTTCAATCAGTAACATTATCCACACATTATTACAAAAATGTATATTTTTTTATCGACGCATCTTGATTGAAAAGAAGAATGCTGATAAAGAAAATTAAATTAAGAAACAAGCAAACTTACAATACAATACAAATTAAATTTTAAGAACAATTTAACTACAGTGCCGTAGTAAGTCCTCTTAATAATTCTTCCAAATAAAAGATTATAGAAACCAGGGAAAGAGCTCATCCAGGGAAGTACTGCCACCTTACCTATTTCTGCCGCCTAGCAGTAATGTCAACATTACTGTGTTTCGGTTTTGAAGGGTAAGGGTGCTGGTGAAATTACAGGCACGTGGGACTTGTCAATTTATGTCTCAAGGTGACGGGCACTATGGCAGTGCCCTTAAGATCTTTGTGATTAAAAGCTCTGAGTGGCACTGCAACTGTTATGGATAGGCGTGTCGTTTAACACCAGGCGCAAGACTTGTCGGTATTATAAAAAAACCTTTAAACACAAAACTCATCGTTTGGAACGTTTAGATTACAGTAAGATTCAATTTCAAGCGTAATCTGTAGAATTATTTAAATTGTTTACTTATTATCGTCGACTTAACATTTGAGATAAAAATCAATCTAATTTTGGATAATAATTTCAATGAAACAACTTACAAGTATAACCAAAATTGTTATCACCAACGTATTGTGGTTAAAAATCTTCTTAAACATAAACACAGCCATTCCGCTAAACTGTATTGATCCATTTAAAGTGTCAACAATAAGACAAACCCTTTTTATACACTGTCTTTGTAGATTGTTATCATCTTATAACTCTGAGATTGATCACGTTGTCTATATTATTCTTTGATTTGGTGATATTCACAGAAAAAATACAATTGACTAATATAACAACTTCTTTATGCAATGGTTGGGAATACCGTTTTAGACCGAAGATTACATAGTGCGTAGTATTTGCTATTCCCAACCATTGCATATAGAAGTTGCTATATTAATCAATTGTATTCTCTCTGTGAATATCAACAAATCAAAGAATAATATAGACAACGTGATCAATCTACAAAGACAGTTGTTGTTATATATGCTCATATTATGTGATCACATAATACAAAGTAGAAACAAATTTTATAAATTGGTCTTATTGAATAATTTTAAGTCCTTTTGCTATGTCAAATAGTTTCAATTTCAAATTTCACGCACTATTAAGGTAGAATAGAAAGGTAGGCGTGGAATGCAGAATAGGAATGCAGGTTTGGAAGCTACGAGAGGAGAGTAGGATAGCTCAACCGCAATGTCCAGTTATCTACTCCAACATTAAACAATGTGGTACAAAAGTTATTCCTGAGTTTCATTTGCGGCAATACAAAAATTACTTTTTCGCCTTACTAGCTCGGAAAGTCAACTTTCAACTTAATTCAACTTTTTTAACGCACACACTCAACATAGCCCCGCACTAGGGAAACCCTGTGTCGCGGGTGCCATGGACACACACATAGACAACCACAAATTACACCCAAACTCACGAGAGAAATAAATATAGGTCATACAAATATTTCTCTCGGCCCGGGAATTGAACCTGGGACCTCTGCGTGGCAGTCCGGCATGATGACCGTTCTGCCACAGAGGCAGTTAAGAAAGGCGTCTTTCTCGTTAGAAGTTTGGGTGCAAAAGCGTTTTTGCCACGATAGAGTGGTGAAAAATGTTTTTGAAATTCGAACTTAAGGATGGACTGTGTGTGCACCTAACTTTTCCTTTATAGGCTATAAAAAAAAACATAATGACACGTTCAAGTACGCGATTTGTTGTACATTATTAGGTAATATGGTTGGTATATTTTATTCTTTTTATTGTTGACATTAAATTCACAACGATAACTGATTTTTAACCGATTTCAAAAAATTGGAGGAGGTTCTCAATTCGACTGTATGTATTTTTTTTTGTATGTGTGTTTCGCGATAACTCGTCGTTTGTGAACCGATTTTCATGATTCTTTTTTTGTTGGAAAGAGGGTACCTCTTTAATGGTCCCATTTAATTTTGAAGAAAATACCACCACCTCTAAGGCTGGCTGTTCACGCATGAAGATTCATTTTTATAAATAGCGCCTGAATTTTATTATGAGTAATTATTTTAATGGATGATTTTGCTATTATCCAATTCAAGGCGTATTTCTCAATATACTCTGAGTAGTGAGAAACGATTTTTATTCCCGTATAGTGTATAGAAACCGGGCTTGCGCACTTTCCGGTAACCGACTTCAATAAAACTTGGCAAATACATGTAATTCCACGTACCTTTGAGATCGATTTTTTTAGTAATGTACTGAGAAAGAAGAAGTAGTGTACTGAGATTATGTTTATAAAATTATTTTAATTTGTCGAAAAACTGAACTGATTTGTTATATTTTAAATTTTTATTGAATTGATATTCAATTATTTATTGTGAAATTACTCCACTAGTTTGTTATAATTATTAATACAAAGATCGAACACTCAAAATTTGATGATTTGTTATGTTTGTAATTATTGTTATGTTTGAGTGATTTGTTATGTTGTTGTTTGTTTGATGATTAGTTCAACTATTTTTCATTCATCTACCATTTTCCTCGCTATAGTGAGGTGAAAAGTTGTGCGTTTCGCTCGGCAGCAAAATGGCTTTGCGTCTCTTGCCTTGAAACCCTCGCTACGTTCAGGATTCCATTCCCGTCAAACAACAACTTTGCAGCCTTGCATAACAAATAACAATTTTTATACCAAAATAATGTTATGATCGTACCACATTTACTTGTCAGTAGAAAAACTTGAGCACAATCCAAAATATGTATTAGATCACCTCGGTTGCTCAACGGTTTGCTATGTGGGCGGTGGATGAAGAGGATCCGTGGTGGATTCGCTGTAGGACCAATTTAGGAATTGAACTTTTCTAAATTGGTTCTGGTTTGGGTGTTCTGGGTAGTGCCCCAGGGTGAATTCTCTATTAGCACTGGTCCTTAGTTTGTGGCCAGGTAATCGATGTGTATCAGGCACATGTTATTCACACTAATATTATAAATGCGGAAGTAACTCTGTCTGTTACGTTTCCACGACTAAATCTCTGAATTAATATTGATGAAATTTGGTATAGAGATAGGTGGAATCTAGAAGACGGACATAGGCTAGGCTACTTTTTGTTACAAAAATGAATATTATAAGAGTCTATAATACTACCTCAGCTCGAATTAAAAAAAATCCCATACTAATACGGTTAATTTTGCTTGGGTCGAGAAAACCTGTGCTATGGGTACAGCAAATCTTCCAATGGCAAAGTACAATTGTCGTTATGCAAAAATTATATACACCAATACAATGGTATAATAAGAAAAAAATGTAATTTGTGGAGACAGCAAATGAGTAAAATTAAATTAATCTAAATTAAAAAAAATAATTAAATTAATCTAACGTGTGTGTGGGTGTGTGTGCGTACGTGCGTGCGTGCGTGCGTGCGTGCGTGCGTGCGTGCGTGCGTGCGT